AATAAACATTTTAAAAGTATTAGAGAAAAGTTAGACTAAGGGGCTTTGGGGTACTATGAGCCAGACATATTGGATTTGTTGGCTGTGTTGACCTATTACAAATGAAATGCATCCATTTGGTCCTTTTTGCTGAAAGTGTCATTTTTAAGTGTCGACTGTCCTTAGTTGACTTCGGTTAAGTGCGCCTGCAGGCCTGCAGAGAGGATGTGGCTACACAGCTCTGTGCATATCTTATCACGATCAATACTTTGCATTAGTCACTGTATCCAGAGATTTTGTGCGATTTCCATATGTGTTATTTTGGTTATAGTATTCTAAATGGGTTTGATAGCCATCAGTGTGGGTTGCTGACAATGTGAAACCTTAAGGAACCTATATTTTTTTTTATTATGTTTCAAACTCTTATGATGGGTGTAGTACTGCTCATGAAGTAATTTGAACTTAAAACCCAGTTTTTCATACAAACCAGGTTCTGTGAGTCTTTATTTTTATTGCATTGTCATTATCTATTTTCAAATTGAAGAATGTGTGTAGCTACTCTCTAAGACCTCTGGAGTTCTCTTAGGTCGTTTGCTATGTTTATAATGGCGATTAAGCTATCACTTTTTTATTTATCGTAATGATTTTATTGTTTTCTACTCGTTCAAAGCTGAAAGTTTGATGGACTTCTTGATTTCAAGTCAGAATATTGTCTGCCTCAGTGTGTGCTTTTTTGCACAGAGGAAATACAGAATAAAAGTGGCACCAAGAGTGTAGTTATTTGGAGAGCATGATGCAGATTAGCTATGGTTCAGGAAGATGAAAACCTGATGACAGTAGCCCTATTGAGACCCGATGAAAGCTTCAGGCAGGACATGGAACCATGTGTGCCTGGTCTGTTTCTATTTGCCTGACGAGTCATTCAAATTTATGAGGGTTCGGGGCTCAATTTTAGCTTCGAGAACATCTGTGGAGTTGATTGCAACTGTGGAGATGCAGATTTCCTGCCGGATTTTGGTATTAAAACTGAACTGAGCAACTGTTTCAGTCGTCTGCTGAAGAGATGGGTGGATATTACATGCCTGATTACATTCGAAGTCCTTCTGTTTTTAAATGAGACTCATCAAAACCGTAATAAAGTTGGGTTCGACCTCTCTGCTGTGCTGGATGCGTCTTAAGTGGTAGTTTTTGCTGCTCTATTTGTCTCTTTATTGTGATTATGCCTTTGAGGAAAGCTAATCTGCATGCTGCCTGAAAAGTTTCCATTGGAACCAACTACAGTTTCCTCATCATCTGAGCCATATTTTATAATAGGCAAACACGTGTAGTGCTTCTCATAGACAACAGACATGATAGGCTTTATGATAACTGATCTAAAGCATACTAGTGGAATTAAAATCAACAAAATATTGGAGTTAAAAGCAGTACCAGAATTTAAAAATATGCAGTACACGCAGTAATGTGCAAATGTTTTGAACCGTCCCTCATGTCTTCATATTTTTCTAGGAAAATGAGAAATGGGTGGAGTGATCATTGAAACTTGTACACATGGGAACACAGTATATAAGGCAAAAACAGAGTTTGTACAATTGCAACTCTTAGATAGACTTTCTTGAATTTTCTTTAAGTAGTCTTCAAAGCTCTTCTGTAGACGTTGGCTGCCTTTTGTTCAGTTCTGTGCTTCAATAATGTTGAGGTCCAGACTGTGGGGAGGCCCATTGTGTGTTTTTCTGCACACTGCACTGTCAGTGTGTTCGGGATCATCGTCATGCTGAAAATGAAGCTTTTGGCAGTCAGTTTTTTTCCAGATGGATGCTTTCAAACTTTAAATTGTTTGTCACGTGTATACTAGGGCTGCCACAAACGATTATTTTGATAGTCGACTAGTCACTGATTATTTTTGCGATTAGTCGACTAATCAGATCATCATCCATTGGACGTAAAACATACAGCTTATTGCACCAGCATGCATCTGCTCTTATATAACTATCATTAGCTTACAGCTTTAAGTGTTTAAGGTATGTGCTAACTAAATATAAACACAAGATAATAGTTTATTCAATTTTAATAAAATTTGCAGATTGTTTCGGTGAAGTTTAATAAACTCCTTGCTATCTAAAATATAACAGGACACCGGAGTAAATTATCGAGCATCTCACACTTCTGATAATCAGCTGTCTGCTTGAGGTTTATTCAGCTGTGTAAAAACTATAACTTTAATCTCAGCCAAACCGATTTACTCAGGAACAAATAAAATACTAAAAAAGCCAAACAATAACATTTTTAAGTTATCTAAGTGACTTAAATATCATGTTTAACCCGAGTAGCGAAAGACGGAGGTGGGTTTGAAAACAATTTGCAGGGAGTCCGGTGTTCTCAAGGGTTCTAGTGAGCCTAGCCCCCGGCTAGCTATGAAGCTAGTGGGTAAACGTCCCGAAAACGTCGGAGCGCTTTTGAAAATATGTGGTGTCTTGATAAACTGAGCAGATATTTGAGGTTTACACAGCTACATTCTCGCCTGAAAATATGTTAAACATTTATTTTGTGACCCAGAAAGAATAATAATTGTAATATTAAAACTAACTAGCTGCCGCCATTGTTGACAACTGAGCTGGGCTGCGCTATGAATTCTGGGACACAGCTTCTTCTTCTTCGGGGTTTAACGGCAGCTGGCATCCTTGTACATGCAGTGCTGCCATCTTCTGTTTCAGTCCGTTATTACACTCTTAAATCCTACTACTTATTCCTGCGTCTTTTGTGATCTTACAAAGCTTCAAATGACATGTCGACTATTAAATCAGTCGTCGACGATTATGATAGTCGACGTAATCGTGACTGGTCGACTTATCGTGGCAGCCCTAGTGTATACACAACATTTGTTCATCCTTTGTGTTAAATGCCCTTTTTGCATTTGAATGATTAATCCATAAGGTCAGCATTAAACGGCTTAAGAAACAAGCAAAAAAAAACCAAAACAACTTCCGTCCTGAAAAGGGTCAGGTAGAAGGACTGGACTGAAAATAAGTTAAAAGCAGCCAATATCCAAAGAAAAGCTTTAAAAGACCTTTAGAAAGCTTTGAGAACTATTGCTCAAGAAGAACATTTTTAAGAAAGAGGGGTGGCTCAAGACTTCTACACCATGCTGTACAAGCAGAGCAAGTGCAGGCACATTACTAAAAGGCTGTGCAAACATATAGGTCATTAGATGGCTTTTGAATGACTCGGCGCTAATACTGAACTGACAGAAGTTGGCCAAAAAAGATGAAAATGCTACATTTTCATCATTAATATTACCAATGTTAATGATTAATCAAGAAATAAAAAAATAAAACCCTTTTTAATTCTAAATTAAAACAAAAATATAAATTAAAGGAAAGGGGACGCAGTGAAATCATGCGTTGGAAAACCCCTCAGTTAGGCTTATTGTGTATCCTGAAATTGGATACTCAAAAGTCCCTGCTATATGCAGTGAGTGTAATCCGAGATAAAGACCAGTGATGTATAAAACTCACCAGTCTTGTCCTCTTGGTGTTGGAAACAGCCTCTCTGGGTGTTATCTCGCTATTTTTTTATGTCCACTGTCGGCTTCTTTGGGGTTCATTATGGCTGCAGCAGGTTGCAGTATTTTTGCTAAATAATAATGGATTGGATTTATATAGCGCTTTTCAAGGCACCCAAAGCGCTTTACAATGCCACTATTCATTCACTCTCGCATTCATACACTGGTGAAGGCAAGGTACAGTTGTAGCCAATAAATAATTCAGAGATAAGAACAAAATATTAACACTCAAAACCAGGAAATGACTTTTCACACGGCAGAATTCCCACTGATTACTGATTGTCTGTGCTTCGCCATCTCTGCAGGGCTCCTGGTGGGGGCGCTTGACAATGTTCTGGACTCCACTGCCAGGGTCACTCCCTTTCGCATCCTCCTCCAAGTTCCCGGCTCCCAGGTCAGCTGGATCATTGCCAGTGGTGAGCTGAACCCTTTTTTTAACGTTTTCATCTGTTTGCCTGTTGTGATCTGCAGCCTTGGGACATTCCTGCATACTCGGTTGCCTTACCTTGACTCATTTGACCGGCCGGAGATGTTAAATTCTCTCATTCTTTGCTTTCATCAGGAGCTGCCATAGAAGAGGTGAACAAGCACTGGGACTGGCTGCTCCACAACCTGCTTCACTCTCTGTCTGTGTTTGAGAACAAGGAGGATGTTGCCAGCTTCGTCAAAGGAAAAGTCAAGGTCTGTAATGTGCCAGCATAGTCATAAAAACGCAGAGAGGATGAGTTTTAGATTGAAAGATGTGATTTTTAAACGATGTGGTTGTGAGCCCATTTAAAAGTAGGCTGAAGTAACGACTCCAGCTTTTGTCTTCTGCAGGGCCTTATCGCCGAGGAGGTTCAGGGACGCCAGGCGGCCCAGGAGGACGACCCGGGGAAGTTCAGGGAGGCGCTCCTGAAGTTTGAGGTTCACTTTGGCCTCCCCACGTCAGAGAAACTGGTGACGTACTACTCCTGCTGCTGCTGGAAGGGCCGGGTGCCTCGGCAGGGCTTTCTCTACCTCAGCATCAACCACATGGCCTTCTACTCCTTCCTGCTGGGGAAGGAAGGTCTGTACTCCAAAGTGAGAGCTCTCATTTTCAATCTAAAAGACTGCACTTGTTCATCAAATTGGTAATAACGGTACTCAGACTTTGGCATTTGGAAAAACTCACAATATCTTTTAACAGTATTAGAAAAGCTTGCTGTGTAAACTAGAGTGAGTGCGAGGTGGCTCTAAGCTCATACACTCAGTGGGATTTTATTCTCTTCTTCCTTCCCCCTTCAGTCAAGTTTGTGATTCCCTGGGCAGAGGTGACACGGTTGGAGCGGGTCTCCATCGCTTTAATGCCGGAGGCAATTCGGGTCACCACACGGCAGCGGCAAAGGGAGTTCTCCATGTTCTTGAACCTGGACGAGGCGTTCGGAGTCATAGGTCAGCTGGCTGACATTGCCCTGAGGCGGCTGCTGGACAGCAAAGGCCTAGAGCTGGACCGAGTGCTGCAGCAGCCCGCACGCATCACCAAAAGGTCAGTGCCGGTTCAGGTGTGTGCTAACAGTACAAACAGACAGTTTCTTAATGTGAGATTAAGCAACATTAGGAATAAAACAAAGTTATCCACAGAAAGAAGTACAAACTTTTGCTCACTTCACTCTAATCCTCCCAAAAAGTTAGCAAAGAACTCCTGTTGAATACCTGCTGCAAACACTGTTGCTTTACTGCTTTTTCAGTCAGGTCCTTGTAGATCAGGGGTGAGGAACTCCAGGCCTCAAGGGCCGCTGTCCTGCAGGTTTTAGATCTCACCCTGGGTCAACACACCTGAATCACATGATTAGTTCGTTACCAAGCCTCTGGAGAACTTCAGAACATGTTGAAGAAGTCATTTAACCATTTGAATCAGCTGTGTTGGATCAAGGACACATCTAAAACCTGCATGATACCAGCCCTCGAGGCCTGGAATTGCCCACCCCTGTTGTAGATCCTTTCAGGTGCGAGTCATTCAAAATATTGCAATTATGCTTCTCTCATAAACCTTTGGTGAGTCAGCCTGAAACTCATTACTTCCCTTTTTAGACACAGCAGTATTACTATGTAGATTCCTGCCTGTGCTAACCCACTGAGTCAGTGACTCAGTTACTCGCTTCACGCACAGTCTCACTGCTTTGCTAGTCCAGCATGAAGGCTGCTGAGCTCAAAGCATCACAGAGCCCACGCAGATCTGCTCAGTATGACGGAGCAAGCGGAATATTTAAGCTAACACAGCCTCCCTGACACACCTGCTCGGGGTGCTGCAGTATTAACAGTATTACTACAGAATAAGAAATAAGTAGGTTTTATAGGGT